TCCTTGCTCCTAGTAGCGATGCCAGGAGCCCCTAGTAAGTTTGAGTTGCTGTGCTGGAGGTTCACTAAGTGTCCTTGTTGGTCGTCCCTCCCGGATCCCTTCGCTCCATCGTTCGCAGAGGTGGCATCGTGTGTGCGTCTCCACCATGCCCGGTCTTTGCGTGCAATATCGAAAAGAAGACATCATGAACTTTGGGGAATGCGACATTTTGATAGACACAATTCGATCACTGCATGTGTTCACAGCTTCCATATGCCTGCTTGGTTCAATAAAACTTTGGGTCTTTCAATTTGGCTTTGGGGCCTTTTTGGAGTGAGCACGTGCTGTGCTGCAGGAAGTAGAACTTGATTTCACAGAGGCTGGGATTTGTTTACCCAAGACTAATGTTTTTACAAGCATGCAGTGTTGACTCTGAAGCGCTCCGTGAATTTCCTTTTGACCCAGGGCGGCTCTGTGAGCTCTCGGGTACCCAAGGAGATGCGAGATATGACACGACACAAGACATTTGAGGTGGAATTTATATGTATTTTTGTTTATTTTGTATTTTTTAAACGTGGGGTAGGTCGCTAGTGTACAGGTAGTTTGGCTGGGTAGCTAGTAGAAGCTAGGCAGCTACGCTACTACTGACGGGACGCAGGATAGCTCACGCTTCTTCAAGCAAACTCCCCCGCCTGCCCTAAAGGCGGCGGGGAAGCTTCCTTGAAGAAGCGCTCGTACTATTTGATAGGGAAACTCAACAATAGCAATGGCCTCCAACTTACTAGCGATGGAATTTATGCGGCCTCTTCTCTCAGCTTTTTTTCAGAAAGACAGAAGCTGGACAATTTCGACTTAGACTCGAAGACTTCACAGGAAGCTGAGCAAGCTGGGTGGTTGCAAGACTTTTTGTCTGATTCGCCTGGTGTGGTGTGGCCCTCGTTCGAAGTGCGACAGCTTGAAGCAACTCCAAACAGGTCGCTGTGGTGAAGATTGTCAGATATTGCAAGGTCAAGCATATCACACACGGTTCGAACAAGTCTGACGGATGGGATTCTTCAAATCTTCGGAGCTCTTCTGGACAAGGTTTAATTGAACCAGCAACTACTATCAGCTTGACTGGTGTTCGGATGATGACTTTTCATTTTTGTGGTGGGTTTACATTTCTTGCACCTTGACGATCGATCTCACTGCTTTAGGGTTTCTTTGGCACTCGAAGGAATACATTTCCTTTCACACTTCCAGACCTGCGGTGCACCTCGTTGGCTTCAGCTTGCAAACAACTACATTCTTCTAACATCTTCTAACTTCAATATGGAATCTTCTCATCGCATCTCCTACATCAAGCTCTTGGACGCCTGTCCAACTGTTGCTACCCAAGTCCCACCGAGATAGGAGGAGAAACAACCTTGGCCAATCCCTTGGCCTTTGCAAGCAGCAGTGGCTTGCTGTCCCGTTGCACGTGGGACTTGCATTTCTCCAAAGCCATCAAAGCCCTGAGCACAGAGTTTGATCACCTCCAAAAATAGATACACATCGTTTCCTCAGCACCGTCGGCACTAAACTGACGCCATGGAGGACGACGGCAGGGCCCTAAAAACGGCACATTGTTGACCAGTGAGCATTGTAGCACGAAGGTTCCACTAGTGACTACTCAAGCTAAATGGAGTTTGTAAACGCACAGGTTCATGTTCAGTCAAGCGCTTAGATCAAGGCATGGACGCGCTATTTAGCAGCTTCATGAGCGAAGTAACCAACATCAAGTCTGCCAAGATGAAGAAGCGACTTGGAGACATCACTTTGAAAAACTTTGATCAACTTTAACTTGTCATGCCGAAGACAATTTGCTGAGTCACTTTTACACTGGAAGATAGATGATTCACACGCCCAGGATTGAAGGCAACCAGGGCACTCCAGACGAGCATCTCGGCTTAGAAAGACTAGCCCATGAACACAAAAGAGCATGATTTGCCATGTGATATTTGCCCATTCCATACGAGTTTGTAGCGACAAAAATGGAAAGCAGAGCTTTGCCGTGGCAGGATCATTGAACGGGTTCTTGCACGACCCTATGACCCGAAACAGGGTCAAGGTTCTGCTTACCAGATCCTTCAGGCAGTCGACGGTTGCCCTTTGAGTCAACAGACATGCCCGTGTCGCGACATCGGTGAATACCGTTGGAACATCGGCTGTTGAGACAGTCAACGTTGATAACGGCCAATGCCCAGACATCAAGGGAGCTATAAAGGTTGTTCTTGCCCTTTAGAAAAGAAGAGAACCATGGACAACTCTTGAATCGGCATGAATCGGCAGGACAGAGTTTTCTGATGCTGGTGTTAGGTCTGCTCTGGTCACGAAAGATGTCCTATCCTTTCACTGTCGAGTCTTTTTGAGAACGAGAAGACATGAGAACAGAGTTTCAAGATGGATTTAAGACTCCTCTGCGAGGTTGCGCCAGATGCCACGGAGTCTGAGATCACTAAACAATACAGGCGACTGTCAGCCAGACCCCAAGGAGAGCCTTTGAGCTGAGATGTTGGGAAGTCGGCCAGAGCGACGCTTCAGGTGCTGGTTCACCCGGACAAGTGCAAGCTGGATCGAGCAGCAGAAGCATTTCAGGCACCTGAAGCTTGCCATTGTCTCAGATGCTTGTCAATGATCTTAGTTTCTAGGTCATCGTCAAAGCCTACAACGACACAAAAGATCCAAACTACCAGGACAAGTCACTTGGTGTAAGTTGATGGTCTTGTGTTTTGGTGGCATGTCACAGTAGAGGGATGGGTGGAAAGCGTCTCCCTATATCCAAGGTATGCAGATGTGATCATTGAAGCCAAAAAGCGGGTCAGGCAGATTCGGAATTGATGCTGCTATGATTTGCCATGTGATATTTGTTTTGGTTGGGAGTTTATTAGGAAGGAGCGGGAGAAGCAGAATGAAGCCCGTGAAAAGCGCGGAGAGGATCCCTTAGCCACCGTGGGCTGCTCAGATTGACAAAGTCGAAATCATTGCAGCTTACCTCCTTTGATCATTCACTGGCAGAAACGCAGATGCGTCAGATGGCGTATCTATATAAGTACCCTAGAAAGCATTTCACGGCGTTTTTGCTGGTAGAGGGCTGACTTGTGAAATGTCTGATTCCTAGGCCTTGTGCGAAATTACAGTCTGAAACCACGAAAAGTGCAATTTTACAAGTTGAAGCCAACTTCAAGTGCCAAAGCGAGGATGGCCAGGAGTTCGACAGGGCCGTTTGGGAGGAATGTGAAAGGCGAGGAATTGAGCACAAGCAACATGTCGGCGACATGTCGACACCGTTTTGGGCGCATGTACCACTTTTGTCGCTTAGTAACCTCTAGAGGCTATTAGGGCGGTGGAGGCCATCGCAAGTAGGAACAAGAGGACACTACTAGTAACGAAGGGCATCGCTACTAGGAGCAAGGACGCTACTAGTAGCTCCTGGCATTACTACTAGTTACTAGGAACAAGAAGCTACTATGTTTCTGCTTGTACTTCTGACAGGATGACATCAGCAGCGACTGAACATGCAGAGCAAGCGAACTCCGTGGCAGAGGCGAACAAAAAGCGATACGAAGAGCAGGCGACGCTTGATAAAGACTGACCTTCAAGTGCGAACTCTTTTTGAGAAAGAAATAACGAAGGGACAATGAAAGGCGATGCACCAGCAAAGGCCAGAGAAAGACGGGAAAGAAAGAAAGCGGAGCAGAAGGAGTTGCGAGAATGGGAGCGCAATAAGGAGCCACATCAACTACTCTCCAAGAGCTTTTGAGGCAACGAATTCCTTTGATATCCTTGCTACTAGGTTGGAGGCCGTCGCTACCAATTAATTAGGTTGGAGGCCATTGCTTTGAGATCATTGTGCCACCTTCATGTCTTCATAGAGCAGGACAAAAGGGCCGCTGGCTGGCAGGTCTTCATGCAAAACGTACAGCCTTGTGCTTGAGCATCAACCAATGCAACCTGAATCCAAGAGTGTCGTCGTTCAGTCCATGCAATCATCCAAGTTCAATTGCGGAACATTTCCGGCCGCAGATCTCACAATCGGTGAAAGTAAGGTCCAAAAAGTTTAAAGCCGGACACACCATTGGCAAGGCAGGCTGCTCAGATTGAATGCAGCTTTTAGTTGCAGAACACGTCGCGTCTTTCCCTGCCTCTTGATCCTGGTGATGTTCCTGACGTCAGATTGGTGCAGCTGATCAGCATCACAAGCGAGAGGACACTTCTTCTACTTGTGCACAAGTTGTGCTTGAAACATTTTCTGTAACCTTTCACTTTGCAGAGTTTGGAAGATGCTACGTCCTTTCCAGGAGCGGAAGGATACTGATGGCAAAGCGGACTTGGACATGGAGGACAAGAAGGTGATCCGTTCGGCCGGGGACCTAGTGCAACTTGGTTACTAGTAGCTTCTTGCTACTAGTAGTAATGCCATGAGCTACTAGTAGCTTCTTGTTACTAGTGCCTTGCTACGGCAGCGGTGCAACCTGCATTTCAAGCCGAATTGGCTCAGCATTTTGAGGACATGCAGGCTGCCTTCGTGGACATGTGCCTTGGACAGATTGAAGTCCGTCGAGAAAGGTTGAAATCTGCCGATGCTTGGGCCATGTTTGGTCTGACCGAGGTCCTACCGAAAGGATTGGCGTTAATGGCTCTCCAGCGTCCGTCTGTCCGACAAAGCGAGCGAAAATGCTCAAGAGAGCCGAAACGTGCAGAAAAGAAGCAGTGGGACCTGTCATCTGACAACTCTTTTTGATGCCTTTTCCGCTTCTCGTTCCCTGTATTGTATTATACGTCCGTAGATCTTTGTGGGCACAAGCTAGGCTCTTCAGCCATGAAGGTAGTGGTGAACTGTGAGGACTTGAAATTTGAGGTCCAATGTGGAGCCGGCAAGCAGCATATGAGATGGCTTGCGTTGGTGGCGGCAACACGGATGCAGCGGCTAAAGTACCCGCATGCCTTTCGTGTTCCACAAAGAGTTCTAAACAGTGAGGGCACGACTTTGAAGCCACGGCAAGTGATTTGCTCCACTTTGGAGGACAGTGAGGAGGTCATCATTGAGCTCAGACAAGGTGCTGCTATTCCAGAGGAAGATGTGGATGCAGCAGAGTGGTCTGAAGAAGCATATGGACCCCAAGCAAATCTGATGGATTGCAAATTCAGATGGAAGGTTGGTGGTGCTCAGGAATTCCCAAAATATGTCCGAGGCGACTACATTGTGGCACCTCGATGGCAAGGTGTTTACCCTCAGAAGGACTATGGCGGACCCTTTGAGATTCAGGTTGTGCCAGTGGATGTTGGCCCAGACCAAGTGGATTGGATTGCTTCCAGAAAAGCACCACCAGGCAGTTGCACCTACAAGTTTGTGATGGAAAGCGACTATGAATCCATTTGCAAGGCAGATCCAGAAACTCTCACAGCTGATGGCCTTGCACACTACACTGAGTTCCACTGGGACGTGCCAATTGCTCCAGAACCATACCCGGAGATTGACAGCCGACCCTCAACGGCATCGTCCAGGGATGGCGCACAGGTAGACCCACGCTTTGAGCAGGACTGGGAAGCCCTACTTTTGAAGTGGGTAGAATCTTTCATGAAGGTTCGTGTCAAGGATGTGCTGGCAGAATTCTTTGCGATTCTCATTGATCTTTTTGACTCTTATGCCTTCATGGGCTTGGACCTTTCTGCCAGCCAACACACCATTGGAATGGATGACTGGAAGCACCTGGTCATCAACTGCGGACTGCTGAACGGCCAGCCTGAAGGGAATCTGGACTGGCAGCAGGTTTGCACTTGGTTTGAGGAGGCAGCGGGCGTTCGAGATGGAAGGCCCTACTTGGCCCAGCGACTGACTCGAGCTCATTACCTGGAGTTGCTGATGCGCACAGCCTCTTGGACGATGTGCGAGCATCCAAGGGAGCAATATGTCCCGGAGAAGGGGAGGCCTCCCATGCCTTTGGATGAAGGCTTGTTTCGCTTCATCACAGACATCTTGATTCCAGTGATGGACATTTACGATGATGATCCAATTCGAAAAGATGCAGTTCAGCATGAAAACCTGGTGGTGATCCAGGAGAATCGTCGCTCCATTCGCTCAATCTACTCCTTTTTGGCTCAACCATGGCCACATTACCAGGGTGAGCGCGTTCTGATTCCAGGAACTCTCAGATATGTTCTGGAATATGCTCTTGCCAAGCTGTTGGAAGCTGAGGAAGCTCCACCGCCTCCGCCAGAAGAAGGAGAGCCGACTGTGAAGGCAGCAACCATTGACATGGGCGCCGTGTTTGGAGGAGAGGAGAGGTTGAACATCCAGCAGCTCGAAGTGATTTTGGAGACCTTTGACTCTCATGTCAGCAAGATCACTGCAAACCATCCGGAAGAAGCTGAGCAACGTGCCCTGCTCTTCTGGGAGTTCTTTGAAGTGCTCATGGAGTCATGTCGCAGTCTCACTTTAGGGACTGACACTCCGCTTGAGAAAGCCATCCCAGCCTATGTGCAGACGATGTTAGCCTTCATGGGCCTTGTGGACCGTGAAGAAGCGTCACTTCCACAGCTAGCCGGCTCGGAGCATCCCGAAGATGAGTTGTTGGCTGACGTGGACGAGGAAGCGTCTTGAGGAAAATGAGAACATGTGGAACCTGGAACATGAGTACTGCGTTTCACCGTCTCACTGAGTATTGATCGAAGCACCGGAAACCACGGTGATCCAAAAGCCTGTCGGTTGCTGCTCTGAAGTACTTCAATAATCTTTTTCAAGTTTTTTTTGGCTCTGAAGTCTCTTCACTTTCTCATCTTGCTTGACGTCGCTTCACAAATAAGACGAAGCTTTGGACTTTGGACCTGTTTTTGGCGGTTGAGGTGAAGAGACGGCAACAGATGTTGCAGGCGCTCCAGGTGCAAAGCAGTGAGAAGAATGAGTCGAATAAGTACTACGCAAATGAAATCAGCAATTGAAAAAAGCAATGGAATCAGTTTTTTTGCTTTCCTATTCCGTTCTTGTTTCAGTATCCTATCAGGCCTGGGAAGCTCTGTCGCAGAATCTAACACAGGAGGTGAGCAGAGTCAAGAGTGAAGCAATAGTTTTCCTCACTTGCTCATGCTGACTTGGTTGATTGTATGAGACTTGATCCCAAAACCTGAAGGCATTTGGTCGGCGAATCTCCAAAATTGTGTGAGTGAAGTTAGCTCCTACTCCGAACCCCCCCACCCCCCCAGACCTTTAATCCCACAAGGCCTTCACAGCGCTCGCTGGCGCCTCAGGGTGGACCATGTGCACGCCCGAACACTTTCTGCACTGAGGCAGAGGAGAAGCTCGATGCCTTGACTCTGACAGTGAGAGCAGAGGTGGGCGATCTCTGGGACCTCAGATGGACGCTTGCTGCGCCTTGCTGCGCCTTGCTGCGCTTTGCGACGCTTAGCGCTGAGCTCCAGGCACTTCTCCGACTGGGACGCTTGGAAGAGGCTGCCAAGGACTGTGTTCAGGCGAGTGAGTGAAGTGAGTGGCATGTTCAGGCTGTTGAAGTTCTTCACGTCGACAAAGCATTGAAACTCGACGTGAAGTCGCTTGGTGTGGTGCGGCTCAATTCCCTTAAATTTGCGCGTGAGGCCTTGAGGATCTTCCCTGAGAGCAGCATGACAACGCTAGTCCAGGCTGAGGTGCAAACCAGGGTACTTCGCATTGTTTTCCCAGCCCAGCTTCATTGCTAAGCATTGTGAACTCATTACCGTAAATGCCTGTCTGAATGCCTCAATCTCATCATAGTGACGCAGAGTGACTGTGTGGGTGGCAATATAGTGATATTGTATGCGTTGTATCGTTGGACAGTCCCTAGGTGAACCTTCGCTTGGGCTATCCTGCTGATTGTTTGGAGGACCTTTGGTTAATTGGGTCCCGAGACAACTTCTTTCATTCAGTCTTTGCCTCTTTTTGCAAGCTTGACCTCTGAAAGACAATGAAACACCAAATCAGAGGATTGCAACCACTTGCTCGACTGGAACCCTCGATGCTCCCAAGCTTCTGCACTTCGTGGAGAGGTGTGAGTCAGATGCAAGTACACCAAGCAAAGAGATGTTGTAAGATATCTAAGATATATTGCATCATTTGGTCCCAGTTCTTTCTTTCTCACATCATCTCATGCGCTTCTTCATGTTGACTTTCAGCTTTCGGCCACTTCATTCTCGCTCAAAGTCCGCATCGCAGGCACGCTTGAGTTTGGGCCACCTGGACGAGGCACGCGATGCGGCTTTGATTCATTCCAAACTCAGAAGACCCGCCAGCTACTTAGCTACTTGGAGCAAGGACGCTACTAGGGGCTCCTGGCCGTACTACTAGGAACAAGAAGCTACTTTGAAGTAGTCTGTCAAATTCAGAAGACTCGCCAGCCGCCAGCTACTTAAGTTTCAGGCCATCCTGGACTGTGACTGGGCATTGGCACATGGACATCGTTCTGCAGCAGTCCTTGCAGTGCGAGGCCAATAGACATGATGACTCGTCACATTTTGGAAATGAAGATGCTGTGAACATGAGCAGCAAGGAACAACTTCAAACAGTAAAGGCTTGCATCCACGGTGTGATACACATTACTGTAGCTGATTCGATAGCCTGCCTCTCTCAGTTCCTGATCGGCTCAAGCGGCCATTGTGAACTTTGTCTTTCAACTTAGAACAATGACTCACACTGATGTATCCAGTGAGACAGAGGATAAAACCTCAGTGTCTGCCGAAAGCGAGCCCAAAGCGAGAGCCAAGCGCTCACGAAGCCACAGAAGGAAGACTGAGCCGAAGCTTGGGAGCCGTCACCTGATCACCTGCTGGTTTGGCCGTGCATGTGAACGGAAGGAATGTTGGTTCAAACATCCGGATGGTCGAGATGTCGATCGGAAGCGGGAGAAACGCGATCGATCTCGAGTGCGATCTCGACCAATTCGATCTCGCACGCCGCACAGGAGTCCAAGGAGGGTGAACCGATCGGCCTCAAAGCCCCGAGAGAAGTCTCGCAGAGAGGGGACCAAACACTTGAAGACTTCAGAGAAGAACGGGAGGGAAGAGAAAGAAGAGAAGGAGAAAGACGAGAAGAAAAACGAGAAAAAGAAAAAAGTCGAAACAAAGGATACAGAAGAGGAGCAAAGTGATCAGGCAAAAGATGCCGCGAACGTCACAGGCTCCACAAGCTCAGCTTTGAAGAAAATGGACTTCCGCGAGTTCATTCTGCAGCATTTCGAAGGAACACCCGAGGAAGCTGTAGCAGCATTTCAAGCCTACTGTCAGAAGATGACAGAAGAAGAAGGAAAGACTGAGTTTGAGATTCTGAAGAACACAGGCCTATGCTTCGACCTTTATCACCCTCTCGGGCGGCTGCGATCCTACGACTGGTCCAGGAGCATGGCATGTGAGAGAGCCAAGAACTTCTTGATGGAGGTGGAGCAGGGAAGATACACCGGTCTTTCCTTACGTGCTCGAAGGCCCAATGGAGCCTCAGTCACATGAACGCAAAGAAGGAGACATTTTTCGGTTTTTCAGGCGAGAAATCGTGGCCATCCCTCGCAGTTGGAACAAACAGGTTTCAGATCGTAGGCAGTGAACTCTACGACCCCGTTGCGAAATGTTACAACCCCTGAGACTAATCATGACATATCCTGACTACAAACCGGTTGCAATTTTTCCTTACGTGGCTTGCGTTTTTGCGTCGAGGTCACGTGCCCGGTGGCACATTTGGAGCCTCCCGAGTTTGCCTTCGATGCGAACGTAGGGACGCTGATGATCAGTGGACTACCGCCAGCAATGAGTGCCTGGGATGTGGTGGAAGCTCTTCAGGACTTGAGTGGTTTTACTTCAGCAGCCTGGACCCCTCCGTCACCGCAGAAGCTGAGTCGCAGCTTCTATGCTCACTTCAAGAGCGCCAAAGAAGCTCATGCAGCTTTGCTGGCTTTGCTTGCCGATCCAGACCTTTTGAGGAAAGGACTTACCACAGGCACAGCTAGGGCCTCTCTCCAGGAAGGCTCACCTGAATTGAGTGCTCTGGTTCTGCCGTCTGTAATGTCTTCACCCAGTCGTCTTGAAAAAGACCTGCTTCTTTCAAAGTCAGCTCCTCGCCACAATTTGGAGTGGTTGCAACATGAAACGCCGATGTAGGTTGGAGGCCATCGCTAGCAGGTTGGAGGCCATCGCTAGTAGGTTGGAGGCCATTGCTAGTAGGTTGGAGGCCATAGCCTGTAGGTTGGAGGCCATTGCTTAGTAGGT